AAGTGCATATATAAAATAAGGTTTTTAATGTAACTTGTAGAGCTTTTCACGCTGCATCTTATAGTATGCTTTGCTTTTAAAATATGTCTACTAGAGGAGGATAAAAAGAGAGATACGAACAGTAGTCATTCGTGGAACACCCGTTAGCTTTGAAAGTTGGGCACATTTTATGTTTTGAATAGTATTCATTTAGCTTTTTTCCTTTATTTTCTACGGAAATAAGTTTAGTCATGGTTTTGTATAGAATTTCACGGTGCATCTTTTGGTAAAACAAGCAGCTCTAAAGATCAAAAAGAAAAAAAGTTACAGTCAAAATACTGAGACCTTCATTTATTCTGGGCCACCCGTTATTACTAAATTCGCAATATACTTCAGTTCATAGTTCGAGTACTATCAACGTCTAATAAGGTTTGGTGCCGACCGTTGACCATTGGATGTAGGATGAATACGTTGACGTGTAAGGCGAAGACGACTAAAAACAATGTCCTTCACTTGCTTATTCATTACAAAGAAGAAAATCATCTTAAGAGTAATGAAAGATACTATTGTATGCATACTCATCAAATACAATTCTTTCGGTGGCAAAATATTTGGTGCGATGATATGCCAAAAAGCAAGTATGGCATAGATTATTCCACTGAAGGCAAAATTCCCAATTATTAATACCATATTCCGTGCAAGTTTTTTTTCACGTTTTGCATTTGGCATATGAGAAGCCGTCGTATCGAATGCCATATTGACGACTTGTTGAGTTGCTTGATATGAACGATAAAATATTTTAGCATAAATAAAGATAGCAATATTAAGCGGAATGAAAATTACAACTACAGTGATATATATAGATGAAGCGAAAATTTTACTTTTGGCTACACAAATACGCGATTCTTCTTCGAATCCCAAAGCACCATTAATGAAAATAGGTTCAATTGCTAGTAGAATACTGATAATCCAATTCAGAGCAATCATATACCAATGCATACGAAATGTGAGAAGAAATTTGTGTTTGTAGAATACAGCAAAAAAGAGACGACTCATAGCTTGTAAAACATAGGAATAGCAAATTCCAGCAGATGACATAGTACCCCAAACAGCTTTTAAGAAGCAGAGCGGCTGATTTTCTGCCCAATCTGTACGAAAGCCGTACAATGCTCCAAGGAGATTGTTTAATAGAAAGTTAGCAATCATAAAACTTGTATTACATGTTAGAAGATTGGTAACTGTGCGGCATGCTCGATGCGAAGCAATAATAACAATCATCATCAAACAGAAGATCAAACCAATCGTGCAAATTACAGTTGAGAATATAAAACTGATAATAAAAAATTGTTCGCTGGGCATATTTCAAAAAAGAATAGTTTCCGATTAAATATGAACGTGTGTTACTCAAACTTTTCAAAATTTTGAATAAAGAAAAAATTCAAGAGATTCATATGCTATTCTATTTCTGTTGTCATCAAAATGTTTCTTGTTCATTTCTTACTGTTAATGAAATATGACAATGTCTGTATGGTTAAAGAGTGATATTTCTTTAAATTAGATATGAGAGTTTAGCCATGCATCTGAAATCACATGAACAATTTATGAAAGTTTGTTCAATGTTTTTTGCATCTGCTTGATTACTTTTCGAGGTTTTCTAATCAAACGTCGAGTAAAATAAAAAAAAAAAAAGGTACAACTTGGCGTTCTTTCCGATTGAGGAAAAAATATATTATGTCAATTCTAGAAAAATAAGTTAAGCCAAACGGAATAAATCCAGTGCGCCATCAGAGACTTCTAGCACGTATTAAACTCAAATTTTCATGCCCACAAAAAAAAGATAAAAATATAAAAAATCTATGTTAGTTATTCATCAGCTTTGCTATTTTCAACTTGCTCCAAGTTTACAATGATTGTTGTTATTTATCCATATTTCAGCAGTTCCATATCATTGACCTAGTACATTGTTTTTTGATTTCTCGATAAGAACACACAGTCGCATCTCGATTGTACCCGATGCTTGCTTAAATACGTTACTACTGACGCTGATAGCTTGCACATATGTTTCTTTTTTTGTTTTGTACAACTTTAAAAATTGTTTTTCCTATATATCATTCCTGCTCAAAAAAGTAAAAGAAAAAGAGAGAATGGACAAAACAATGTATATGATGGATCATCATCATAATGAATTAAGTCAAAGCTAGATTGATAAGAAAATGAATTCAATATTAATAAATTAAAATATTATATCCAGTACATTAAATAGTTTATTTCGTAATTAGATATAAAGTAAAATTTTACATCTTTCTATTATTTTATCATCAGTCATCATGAGTATACATATAGAGAGATCTTCAAATAATAAATACAAATATTCTAACGACTCATTGATACATCTCGACCAACTTCACAAAAAAAAAAGTTTAAGCAAAATTTTAAAAAGATTTATCATAACCATTAAATCATTATATTTAATCATGAAGAGGGACAATTCAAGTCTATTTAACTACCAATAAATAAAGTAAATTTAATGAAAGATAGCTTTCAAGGTGGATGAACTAGATACTGTAGCTCATAGTATTCCGGGTTATGAAACCACTAGCGGATCTGACAATTAGATTCCAATGGTGTACAACTATCAAAGCTAGTAGAAACTTCCATCTGCAGTCGTCATTCAAACTGTACTGGAATTTAGCCAAACAGATCTATGGGGCCTGGTTGTTAAAATTTAGCATATTTCTAGCGGACTTCTAATGAAATTATCAAGTGTGATGAGATATAGTCTTATTGTAGTACATCTTAATAGCAGTAAAATGTCACTTCGAACTGAGGAATCCTGATCTGCAACATACGCATTTTGACAATAGGCATTTTCTTATAAACTTTGATCAAAGATTTTCGGCTCGAAACGTTTTATAGAATATTCGCTCTTTGTTTCGAATAAGCCTATGACAAATAAATGAAACTCAAGTATTTCTTAAAACATGATCATTTCCTACTGCTTAATTCCAACTACCTCTAACACTAGTTTGATGATTTGTTTTAGGGCTTCACTTTAGAAAGCCCAATTTTGATCAAATTTATCGTTTTTTGTGGTTTATAGCTTATTAGAGAGAACAGAATGTGTGCTTTCGAATGCACTATAGCTTTTTTATTTCATGTTAAGAATTAAGGATGTTACAGATGTTTTTCTGAACTCACCTACAGAGAAAATTAACTTTTCTCTAAAAACTTGATTGTTGTTGGCATTACAGTTGATGTCGTATGTCCATATGAAATGAAAAAAAATTATCTTTTACATATTCATATACGTTCATTCGATTCATTCTAATCAGTGAAGTAGGAAAAATTGCTTGAAGATCCTTTTTATATCAGCTTATGGAAGAAAAACTCTTGAATTACAATACAGTGTGAAAACTTATTTTTCATTTTTTTCAAAATTCTTTTTTCGAGTATACTGTTTGCACGGGTAAATCTTTCTTATTAACAACTCAATATAAAAGTGGTACATTCTTTTACCAGCATACAGTTAGGGATAGGTCGTAATAGAGTTTGATATTTGAATTTCTCTTTTGTTGAAATAAAAAAAACTTAGCTCTTTGATTTTACTTAGCGATTTTTTTGGCCACAAATTTGACAATCTTTCGTAAAAGTCGTTTTAAAAAACAAATAAAGAGAAATTTAAAAATCAGACCCTATTACCACCTATTTCTACGTGTACTCGACAATTTAAAAGCCATCCCGGCGTATCAGCTTGTATCTTCATTTTGAAAATCTTGCCATATAAAGGATACCCTGTAACCAATGAATCGACTATAACTCAAGAGTAACTGAGAGATTTAATGAGATATTTTATCCACAATCTATACTAGTCAAGACTAACATTGTCTGAAATTTTGGATGAAATATAAAAAACGTTTACTTCTGAGTAGGACCTTAATCCATCGTGTCGCCAAAATCAGCAGAAGTTTCATTTTTTTAAACTCACTGAACTTGCAAATTCAGAAAACTTCATTCAATTCAAAACAAATGGATTGAAGTCATGGGCGGACTGGTTCTCTTTTATCAAAGACTTGTCGAGTTGTGGTGCAAAAGAACGAGCATATGGTAATGAAGAACTTGTATAAATTTCTATTGACGGAAAATTTCGTCACAGTGAATTCAATTGCATTAGTTGATGAAAAGTATGCATGTTGCATTCACGTCCGTCGTCACTAGTTCGAAAATGCATCTATCTTCATGGACAATCATTTAATTCTAATATGTATAGAAATGTGAAATAAGATGAATATAGTTATTTCATGAGCTTAAAGTATTTCAGAACAATGAGGACCCTAAACAGTACTCACTTAAACCATTAGTTAACTCCGGCAGTATTTACTTTCATCCACCATATCGCCATTCAATGAGCATGTTCAGAGAACAGAATTGTCAATGTATTTGCGATCTCATTAATGTCATCCATGGTATTTTTCCACGAATATCTTCGAGCGAACGTTCGACGTATTAATAGTCACAGAATTAAGTTTTATTTTCAAAAAATAACACTGTGGGAACATCTAGAAAACTAACGTTACAATTGAAAATCAAGATAAAATGTATTGCATATGTCGTACTTTGCGAAAACATGGTTTAAATCTAATTTTTTTAGCGCATTTGTCATTTTTTCTGTGGAAGAAAATGATTACTTTTTTTTTCAATTTCATTCGAATTAGTGATATCTATCATAAAAGCTGAATGCAGTCAAATCTTGAGTTCTAGTCGTTTCGAGTTCCATTGATCTTGATCATCGTTCGATCTCTCAGCATTTTCTCTGCCAATAAGTAACGTAGAAAAAAAGACATACACAAATATACAAGCTCACAATGTTCAATTGAGTTGATTATATCTAACTGTATGCATAAAGCAAAACGGTGAATGAATAATTAGCAGAGAGACGACGACACATTAGTAATATGATACATTCTGACTGGGACACATTTTCGTGTTAAAACCTGCGGCTCTATAATTAATGACACATTTTATTTTAGTGTTCGATACTCATTAACTATTGAGAATATTTCAACATTCTATATATATGGTACACATAGAGTCTATCACTTTATATGACCTTTTCATACACTTTACTTCTTTAAAAGTCAACACAATAGTGTCAAGTACATATATATTTAACATATATGGAGATATATATACCCTTAGTGAAGGTACTCACCTTAAACAATGCTATGAGAACTCATTAGTATTCGCCGTGTAATATTGAATATACTTTTTTAGTACTTCTATATAGTTTTTTTGTGTACTCTAATGCTTTATGCAAAATATTCATGACCTTATACTTTGTTAAGTTTTGTTGTATTACATCCATTTTATTAAGATATAAAATTCAATAACAAAAACTATAGATGTACATAATGAAAATTTGATACAACAATAAATATGAGAACTAAAGTCATCGTTTTATATTTACACTTTTTCAAAACACATTAGTAGGATTAGAGAACTCTTTATCATTAAAGAAGAAAGTGAAATATGTTTTTTATTTTTATAACAGGTGATTCATCAAGAATGAACCTCTCAGTGTTTTGCATATATTTCCATAGTATTAAAATGTGAAGAAACTATTTTTTAAAACGGTTTATCTTTTAATTCTCTACAACCTTAGATATTTCAACTGATTCGATTAAGATTCATTACTTTGGAATTGAGCACGGAGCAAATATGTTTAAAATTCACAGCTTTAAAAAAAAAGCTTCTTATCAATTTTCGTTGTACGCACTTTAACATCTTGAGTAAGGTTTCTTTTCAATATATTGATTGATTTCAACCGACGAACCATGAAAAAAATCATTAGTGAAGTATTTTTAAAATTGATTTCTTTTTTTTCTAAATAAACATTATTGTTAATACAAGAAAATTGTATATTAATGTGATTGCTATTCATATATGAAATTGCTTTTAAGATTTCGTTTAGATTTATCAAAGCTTTCAATAACTTCGAAATATAATCGGTAAATATTCAGTAAGTAAATATATTTTCTATAATGTATTGACTTCGTAGCCGTGATATGCACCTACAATTAGTGATATGATTTTATCGTTTCTTTGTTGAAATCAATCGATAGATTGAAAAAAGAACTTACTCAAAAGCTAAAGTACATAGAACGAAAACTGAAGAAAATTGTTTTTGTTTTTCAAAATTATGGATTTTGGATATATGTGTTTCGTCTTTAATTCTAAAGTAACGAATCGTAATTGAATGAGCTGAAATATGTAAAGTTGTAAAG